GTAAAAGGTGTATACGGTATTCTTTTTATGTATTACATATATATTATATAATGTATATATATTAAATAAATAGAAAATAATGGGAAGAACAGTGGATTTAGCAAATGTAAGCAATTTTTTCAAGCTCAGCCTACCAAGAGAGATGAAAAGGGAGGTAGCTACTGGGAAAAAGAGGCTGCTGGGTCGACAAAGAATTTTCCTTTTTAACATTATAAAAAAGGAGCCAGTAGAGAGGGAGAGGCTCTAAAAAACCCAGAACAGGGGGGTAAATAATGGGATACTGTGCCAAAGGAGGTAGAGGTAATGGGATCCAAGAACATAGGTAGAGAGATTAGCATTCAATTAGAAAAGAAAGGCTCAGCTCTTTGATGTATATAAGGAAGTGGTATTGTATTGCTTTTACAGAGAGGACAGTAAGTTGACTTGTGAAGTAGAAGGAAAGATCAGTGCCTGAGAATAAGGGAAACAGTACTAAATAAGGAGTTCTAAAACTTGGTACAGTTTAAGGTAATGTTGATATATACTAACAGAGGGCAAAATCAAAATTCAGTTCAGGTAGATCTATTTGTGGGGAACCGAGACTATGTAATCCATCAGTTTTTCCTGGACAAATGGTTTTTAAAATGTGCTCAGGGCTCCAGTCATTCTGCAGAAGGGCCACAGAGACTCTTTCAGAAAAATGGGAAGGAAAAGAGCTTCATTAGCAGCAGCACTCTAGATTACACCACTTCACTGCAACTCCACTTTTCCTGTTATGCATGAGGCTTCCTGACAAGAAATGTTCTACAACTAAATCACTACTCTGAAACTTTATCCTGGAAAAGCCAGAGCAAGCCCCAAACCAAATTTGGCTCCTTATGGAAATGCACTTAAATATTAGGCAATGGCTGACATTGAGGGGATTAAAAAAAAAAAAAAAGCCCTATGAAACCACTGTCCTTTTTATAGTAAAGACAGTAAGGACATTGTTGAGGATGTTAATCAATAGTGTCTTCTTTAGAAGGACTCAAGGGATAAATCTCTCTCTCTGATCTCCATACAGGCCAAATTATGCTTCCCATGTGCAATCAGTTTGTTTTTTACTTTAGGGACACTGTAAACCAGAACATTGATCTTGTTTCCCAATATGACCAAGGTTCTAGAAAACCTAGTGCCAAACGTGCAGACTAGATCTAGCAAACGGACAGAATACAGAATTTATTTTCTTTAAAATCTCTCTCCTAGTTTTAACATATCTCCAACCTTTATCTTTCATCTGAGTTTCCTCAAGACCAAATTCTCCCTAAGAGACAAAAGGCAGTTTGACAATTATAGGTAGGGGAGTGGAGAATAGGAATAGGAACACTAAGAAAGCCCCAGCCCTGAAGCCTGGGTACAGAAGGCCTAAGACTGAGGTTAAATAAGAAGTGAGAGTTACTCCTTACTACTACCACAAGACTAAAGGTTAAAGAGTGATGACAACGGAATGCCATACCTGACCCTAAACTGGACTCTGTATGGAGACGGGACAATACTATAATGAACACTACAAAGCTAAATGACAGAACTGGAATATCCTATTAGAATATGGAAAATGAATTAGAATTTAAACTTACAAAATCCAAATATAGGATGTACATGTAACTTTGGTTATTTAAGAGGATATTTCTTTTCTTAGAAAACACACACTAAAGGGACACCTGGGTGGCTCAATTAAGTGCCTGACTCATGACAGGTCATGATCTCACGTGTTATGCAACTGAGCCCCACTTTGGGCTCTGCACTTTGCAGAGTCTGCTTGAGATTCTCGCTCCCTCTCCCTCTGCCTCTCTCCTGACTGGTGCTCAACTCTCTCTCTCTCTCAAGTAAATAAAAATAATACAACTAAAATATTTAGGGGTCATGATGCTACTGTTGTATGCTCAGGAAAAAAACTATGTATATATGTGTATAATATACACACTGTACTATTTTTAATTTTCAACTTTTTGTAAGTTTGAAATTATTATTTTTTAAAGATTTTATTTATTTATTCGAGAGAGAGAGAGAGAGGCAGAGGGAGAAGCAGGCTCCATGCAGGGAACCCAATTCAGGACTTGATCCCGGGACCCCAGGATCACGCCCTGGGCCAAAGGCAGGCACTAAACCACTGAGCCACCCAGGGATCCAAGTTTGAAATTATTTCCAAACAAAGAGTTAATTAAAAAATAAAGAGTAATATAGACGAATTTGTTGTAATAGTGAGCTGTAAGATTAGTGGTTCCCCATCATGGGTATGAATTCTTGCAGGGAATATGAATCCATAAACATACCAGAAATTGTTCTCCAAACATGTTCAATAATCTTCCATATGCATGTGTAAACTGCTAAGAATGATAAAATAAAAATTTATTTAAAAGTATAACTAGGGATCCCTGGGTGGCGCAGCGGTTTGGCGCCTGCCTTTGGCCCAGGGCGCGATCCTGGAGACCCGGGATCAAATCCCACGTCGGGCTCCCGGTGCATGGAGCCTGCTTCTCCCTCTGCCTGTGTCTCTGCCTCTCTCTCTCTCTCTCTCTCTGTGTGACTATCATAATTGAATAAAAAAAAAAAATTAAAAAAAAAATAAAAGTATAACTAAATTCACAGCATCTTTTGGGTATTATATATTTTCATACTTTCTCAAACAATCGATAAAAGTAAAATTGTTTCGTGAGGATAATAAAATTTGCCTTTGTGTCCCTTTACTTGAATAGGGAACTTCTAACTATTTTTATCAGCAAGAACCGTGTGATGCTTTCCATAGCTATTACCAAATGGCAACCAAACAGAATGTAGGATCTTCAAAGAATATAAAGTTGAGAGGAATGTGAATAGAAAAAATCAAGCTTTAAAAGATTCAAGAGGTTTCAATGGCACAGAACAAAATCCCAAAATTCTTTTAAGATTTCATTTACTTGAGAGAAAGAGAGAGCGTGCGTGCACACAAGCCCACACAAGCAGGGGGAGCAGCAGAGGACAGGGAGAAGCAGGCTGTCTGCCAAGCAGAGGACCCAAGCGATCCCAGGACCCTGGGATCATGACCTGAGCCAAGGGCAGATACTTAACCGACTGAGCCACCCAGGTGCCCCAACAAAAACCCAAATTTAATAAAATGTTCAGCTTTAAACACAAAGAACACTTCATTATTATTAGACAAGGGAGACATGGTTTAATTGTAGGCAACAAAATATGGGTGAAGGAGAAGACTGAGTTTGGATGTCCACAAGTGTAATACATGCCAACAGTGGGATACGCTTGCCAAGGACCTAATGCAGTATTAAGTAGCATTAATTAAAGTATCATTTAAGAAGATAATAATCTAATTCCGTACTCGTATCTGAGCACATGTGAAATACCGCATTTGATTCTGGGCCTTAGGACTGCTGCTCATGGTCCTGAGGGAACTGCTCGTTATCAGACTAAACCTTCTTCCAGAGATAAATTATAAAACCTTGTTAAAATACAGACACAGTAACTATTTAAATATTTTGGAGATCAACCAAGACAACCAGAAGGCGGAATTCTGTAAGGGAGGGAGGCACAAAAGGATGAGCCTACCTTATACCTCTACTTTCTCCCTTGGGGCATCTGCAGATTTCCCACAGAGGATAAAAACCAATCAGAACGCAGACACTTGGATAGAAACCCACAGTCTCAATAGCTGAGAAAACACACAGAAACAGTTTGTGGCTGCCACATTAGCTGGAAAGGAAGGAAAAAAATTCTAGAGAGAACCACAAACTCTACATATGTACTCTGCTTAGACCCTGGTGACCGCCACCTTAGGCATGTGGGAGGTGGCTTCTCAGCCACCCTGGCTAGTACTGAAACAGAAGACAGAACCTGGAGTTTTGGTGCTGTTTTGTGTTTTAGTTGCATTTGTCCAGAATCAATACCAAGTAATCACCAAAGAATTTCATTATATGGATGCTTGCCAACAAATAAAAATGGTGCTGAAATAAATATACAGGGTTAAATAACTTTTTTGAATCTCGTTATTTATTGTGGAAAAACTGTACTGACTTTTGCAGTCATGATGCAAAAAAGCAACAGTGGGTAAGACTACTATTTGCATTAGACCAGGCAGCTGCACCAAAATGAACTAGTTGTCGCTGCACTCCTCACAACTACATACTCAGTTTTAGATTAGATTTTTTTTTTTATTCATAGAGACAGAGAGAGAGAGAGGCAGAGACACAGGCAGAGGGAGAAGGAAGCATCATACAGAGAGCCTGATGTGGGACTCGATCCAGGGTCTCCAGGATCACACCCTGGGCTGCAGGCGGTGCTAAACCGCTGCGCCACTGGGGCTGCCCCATACTCAGTTTTTAAAAAAACCTGAAAAGGGATGCCTGGGTGGCTCAGTGGTTAAGCATCTGCCTTTGGCTCAGGGTGTGATCCCGGAGCTCCGGGATCGAGTCCCACATTGGGTTCCCTTCATGGAGCCTGCTTCTCCCTCTGCCTGTGTCTCTGCCTCTCTCTCTCTCTCTCTCTCTCTCGAATAAATAAATCTTAAAAAAATTAAAAACCTGAAAAATAAAAAGCTGGTTTCACTTACTATTGTTTAAAACAAAAAGATTTTATTTATTTGTTCATGGGAGACACAGAGAGGCAGAAACACAGGCAGAGGGAGAAGCGGGCTCCATGCAGGGAGCCTGACGTGGGACTCGATCCCAGGTCTCCAGGATCATGCCCTGGGCTGAAGGCGGCGCTAACCTGCTGAGCCACCCGGGCTGCCCAAAATTTGAGCTTTTAAGTGATAATCAGAATTCTAAAACACTTATAACCATAAATATGAAGTTTAAAGACCCTTCTAATGAGATGAGTGACATTAATGGACCTGACTTTTTGAGACTGATAATACGTGTCAATGTTTGGGAGATCTGCAAAACTCAGTAAACCATTACAGCTTTGGGGATATTGTGGGTTCAGTTCCAGACCACCACAATCAAGCAACAAATATCACAGTAAAAAGCCTGTCAAATTAATTTTTTGTTTTCCAGTGCATGTTCACCCTGTATTATAGTCTATTAAGTGTGCAATAATACGTATGTCAAAATAATGTACAGACCGTAATTCAAAAGTACTTTATTGCTAAAAGATGCTAACTATCAGGTGAGCTTTTCACAAGTCATAATCTTGTTGCTGGTGTAGGGTCTTGCTTGATGTGACTGCTGACTGATCAGGGTGGTGGCTGTTGAAGGCTGGGGTGGTTGTGGCAATTTCTTAAAATAAGACAATAGTGCAGTTTCCCAAATCAGTTGACTCTTCCTGTCATGAACAATTTCTCTATAGCATATGATGCTTTTTAATTTTATCCACAATACAACTTTTACCAAAATTCCTTATTAACTAACTCTATGTCATGTTATAAATCCTCTGTTGCCAACAATCTTCACAGCATCTTTACCAGGATCAGTTTCTGTCTCAAGAACTCACCCACTTTGCTCACTGATAAGAAGCAACTCCTCATCCATTAAAGTTCTATCATGTGATTACCACAATTCAGTCCCATCTTCAGGCTCCATCCACATCTAATTCTAGTTCTCTTGCCATTTCCACCACATCTGCAGTTACTTCCCCAAGTCTTGAACTCCTCAAAAGTCCTCCATGAGGGCTGGAATCCACTTTCTCCAAAATTCTGTTAATGTTGGTATTCTGACCTCTTCCATGAATCATGAATGTTCTTAATAGCATCGAGAATGCTGAATCCTTTCTGGAAGGCTTTCAATTTACTTTCCCCAGATCCATCAGAAGAATCACTATCTATGGCACCTAGAACCTTACAAAATGTATTTCTTAAACAATAAGACTTGAAAGTCAGAATGACTCCTTGATCCATGGGCTACAGAACAGATGCTGTGTTAGCAGGTATGAAAACAACACTCGTCTTGTACATCTTCTAATCAGAACTCTTGGGTGACCAGGTGCATTGCTGAACAGTAACATTTGAAGGAAATCATTTTTTCCTGAGGTCTCCATGGTAGGCTTAAAATATTCAGTAAACCATATTATAAACAGATGTGCTGTCATCCAGACTTTGTAGTTCCATTTACAGAGCACAGGAAGAATAGTTTTTACTTAATCCTTAAGGGCCCTAGAATTTTCAGAATGATAAATGAGCAATGGCTTCAACTTAAAGTCATTACCTGCATCAGCCCCTAACAAGAGAGTCAGCCTGTCCTTAGAGGTTTTAAAGCCAGACATCCATTTCTCCTCTCTATGAAAGTCCTAGATGGCGTCTTCTTTCAGTAAGACAATTTTGGGATCCCTGGTGGCTCAGTGGTTGAGCTTTGGCTCAGGGCGTGATCCCGGAGGGCGTGATCCCGGAGTCCTGGGATCCAGTCCCACGTAGGGCTCCCTACGAGGAGCCTGCTTCTCTCTCTGCCTGTGTCTCTGCCTCTCATGAATAAATAAATACGATCTTTAAAAAATAATAAAAAAATAACGTGAGAGATGTGTACAATTCTTCCTTTCACTTGAACACTGAGGAGGCCACTAAGGGATTATTAACTGGCCTAATTTCAATATTGCTGTGTCTCAGAAAATAGTGAAGCACAAGGAGGGGGAGATAGATGAGGCAACAGCCAGCCAGTGAAATAGTCAAAACCCATACAACATTCATCTATCTATTAAATTAACTGCCCTATATGGGTGAGGTTCATTGTGTCCCAAAATAATTAAAATAGTAATATCAAAGATCTCTGATCCCAGATCACCGTAACAATATAATAATAATGAAAACTTGGAACTATTGTAAGAATTACCAAAATGTGACACAAAGTGAGCAAATGCTATTGAAAAAATAGCACTAATAGACTTGCTCAACGCAGGGTTGCCACAAACCGTTAATTCATTAAAAAAAACTCCACATTTCAGAATACATGTGTAGCATAATAAAGAGAAACACAATGAGATATGCCTGTATTTTCTAAATGAACAATGCATGATGTACAAGATTGTGAAAGATCCAAAGTGCAGTATAGACCAGTGGATTTTAATATAAGAATATGAAAAGTTCATCGATAGGTTTCACATTCCACACTGCAAATTACGTTTAAGAAACTACTACTTGTCGAGGTGTCTGGGTGGCTCAGTTAGTTAGGTGTCCAACTCTTCAGTTGGCTCAGGTAATGATCGCAGGGTCCTGGGATCAAGCCCCATATGCAGTTCCCCCCTTCAGCAGATCGTTTGCTTGTGTTCCTCTCCCTCTGCCCCTCCCCCTGCTTGCTCTGTCTCTTTCTCTCTCAAATAAATACATAAGTCTTTTTAAAAATTACTATTTGTCAAGCTTTGGTGTAATATAAAAGAAATATATCCACAATTTTCTTAAGAGGCTATTAAAATACTCCTTTCTCTTTCAATGATATATCTATGTGATAGTAGACTTTCTTTACATACTTTAATCAAACTAATATAAGAAAACAGAGGAAGTAGAAATGAGAATCTAGTAATTTTCTATTAGCCAACTATGAAGGCAGAAATGTAAAGCAATGCACCTATTCCCATTAAAATCACTTTTGTTTTAGAAAATATTTTCACCAAGATGTTACTTATATTAAGAAGATAGTTTTATTATTATTTTAATATTTTTAAATATTTAAAATTTTTGTTTGCATTTCTTTTTTTTTTTTGTAAGATTTTATTTGACAGAGAGGGAGAGAGAAAACAAGCAGGGGGAGCAGCAGGCAGAGGAAGAGAAGCAGGCCTCCTGTCAAATGGGGAGCCCAATGTGGGGTTCAATACGAGGACCCTGAGATCATGACCTTAACCAACTGAGCTACCCAGGCACCCCTCTGTTTGAATTCCTAACATAGGAAGTGTCAATAGATAAGACCCACTTAAAAGCTCTTTGAGAACCCTCAATCTTGAAAAGGAATCCTAAGACAAAAATTTGAGAAGCATCATATTGCACATACAATGAAACAGGAAAATGTGAAAACACAATCAAAGGAGATGGAGCAGCCCGGGTGGCTCAGTGGTTTAGTGCCACCTGCAGCCCAGGGCCTGATCCTGGAGACCAGGGATGGAGCCCCGCGTCGGGCTCCCTGCGTGGAGCCTGCTTCTCCCTCTGCCTGTGTCTCTGCCTCTTTCTCTCTGTGTGTCTCTCATGAATGAACAAATAAAATCTTAAAAAATAAAAAAAAAAAAAGGAGATCAACCTTAAAAATAACCCAGATTTTGGAATTAGTACACAAGGATTTTATTATTTTTATTTATTTTTATTTTTTTAAAGATTTATTTTTTTATTTATTCATGATAGACACAGATTGAGAGAGAGGCAGAGACACAGGAGGAGGGAGAAGCGGGCTCCATGCCAGGAGCCCGATGTGGGACTCGATCCCGGGACTCCAGGATCGCGCCCCGGGCCAAAGGCGCCAAACCGCTGAGCCACCCAGGGATCCCCTATTATTTTTATTTTATTTCATTTCATTTCATTTTATTCATGAGAGACACACAGAGAGAGAGAGAGAGAGGCAGAGACACAGACAGAGGGAGAAGCAGGCTCCATGCAGGGAGCCTGATGTGGGACTCGATCCCGGGTCTCCAGGATCACGCCTTGGGCCAAAGGCAGGCGCTAAACCGCTGAGGCACCCAGGGATCCCCATACATAAAGTTTTACTGGAATATAGCCATGCTCATTCTTTTGCTTTTTGTCTCATTCATTTACTTATCTATGGCTGCATTTGCTCTACAACTACCAGAGACATTTTACGGCCCATAAAATTATTTGCTATATTACTCTTTACAGATAAAGTCTGGTGACCCTTGGTCTAGATCTTTTATGTTCTTACTGAATTTCTTGGCCTAGTTATATCAATTACTAAGAGAAAGTGTTAAAATCTCCAAATATGGGATCCCTGGGTGGCGCAGCGGTTTAGCGCCTGCCTTTGGCCCAGGGCGTGATCCTGGAGACCCGGGATCGGATCCCACATCAGGCTCCTGGTGCATGAAGCCTGCTTTTCCCTCTGCCTATGTCTCTGCCTCTCTCTCTCTCTCTGTGACTATCATAAATTAAAAAAAAAAAAATCTCCAAATATGATTATGGATTTGTCTGCTTCTACTTTAAGTTCTCTTAATTTTTGCTTGATGAATTTTTTGAACCTATGTTACTGGGCACTTCTACAATCATGATGGTTCTGTCTTCCTGATAAATTAACCCTATTATTATTATGTAATAATATCTATTATTGTGATGTAATAATCTCTATCTCCAGTAATAACCACTGTCTTAAAGTCTACTTTCTCTAATATTAATAAAGATACTCAGATTTCTTTTTCTTTTTTTTTAATTTTTTTTTTGATACTCAGATTTCTTAATCTCTTATGCTTACTGCTTGTGTGGTATATCTTTTCCTTCTTATTTCCTCAAAGATTTATTTATTTGAGAGAGAGCATGTGCACACAGGCAAGAGCAGAGAGAGAAAGAATCTCAAGCCGACTCCCTGCTAAGCACAGAGACCAACGCAGAGCTTGATCTCACAACCCTGAGATCATGACCTGAGCTGAAATCAAGAGTCAGATGCTTAACTGAGCCACCCAGGCGCCCCAGTGTACCTTTTTTTAGCCTTTCCCTTTTAGTGTATATCTTTTTTATATTTTAAAATGTATTTCTTATAGGTGGTTCATGGATGAGGTCTTGCTTTTTATACATTCTGACAGTCTCTGCTTTTTGAATGGAGTATTCACTTAACTCCTATTTTTCCTCTGCTTTTAAGAATGTCTATCATTTTTAAAAATTTTTTTTTAATTTTTATTTATTTATGATAGTCACAGAGAGAGAAAGAGAGGCCGAGACATAGGCAGAGGGAGAAGCAGGCTCCATGCACCGGGAGCCCAATGTGGGATTCGATCCCGGGTCTCCAGGATAGCGCCCTGGGCCAAAGGCAGGCGCCAAACCGCTGCGCCACTCAGGGATCCCTGTCTATCATTTTTTAAACATTTTTAAAAGATTCTATTTATTTATTCATGAGAGACGCAGAGACATAGGCAGGAGAAGCAGGCTTCCTGCAGGAAGCCTAATGCGGGACTCAATCCCAGGACCCTGGGATCATGACCTGAGCCAAAGGCACTCAACCACTGAGCCACCTAGGTGCCCCTCATTCTTTAAACATTTTTATTATGATGTGCCTTGTAGTTTCCGTCATGTTTACTCTCCTTGGGGTATCCTGAGCTATTGAGATCTGTGTGTTTATAGGTTTCATCAAATTTAATTTTTTTTCTGGTCATTATTTGTTCAGAAAGTTTGGCTCTTCCAATTATACATATATTGGGCCTGCTAAAGTTGTCCCAGAGCTCATCCATGCTCTGTCCCATTTTTTTTCCTGTGTTTTTTTTTAATTTTCTCTCAGTGGAGTTTTGCTACCACATCCTCAAGTTCACTAATCTTTTTTCCTGCAATGTCTAATGGCATAATATACATTCTTTTCAAGTTCATCAAGACAGGGCATTTGACACACCATAAAATAAGTCTCAGTAAATATAAATATTAATATCTTCAAAATTAAATTAGAAATCAGTAATAAGCACTCTAGGAAAAAAGCTCACAAATATCTAGAAATTAAACATTTATAATTTTGTAAATTAGAAAGTATTTTTAAATAAATGATAAAAATACAATATATCAAAATTTTGGGGATGCAGCTAAAGCAGTGCTTAGAGGGAAATTTATACCTTTAATACTTACATTTAAAAATAAGCAATACAGTTTGGTCAGCTCAGTTAGAAGACCATGCAACACTTGACCTTGGGGTCATGAGTTCAAACCCATGTTACATGCAGAGATTACTTAAATAAATAAACTTCAAAACAATTTTTTTTTCAAAACAATTTTTAAAAATAAACAATACAGGGCAGCCTGGGTGGCTGAGCGGTTTAGCACCGCCTTCAGCGCAGAGTGTGATCCTGGAGACCCGGGATCGAGTCCCACGTTGGGCTCCCTGCTTGGAGCCTGCTTCTCCCTCTGCCTGTGTCCCTGCCTCTCTCTCTCTCTCATGAATAAATAAAATCTTAAAAAAATAATAATAAATAAACAATACAAAATTAATGATGTTCTACCTTAGGAGCAAGGTAAACCCAAAGTAATTAGAAGGAAGAAAATTAAGACACACACACAAAAAAGACAATGAAAAGAAGTTAACTAAGCTAAAATTTGGCTTACTGTCGGTGCAGCTGCTACAGGAAACAATTTGGCAGATCCTCAAAAGGTAAAACAGAGTTACCATATGATCTAGCAAGTCCACTCCTAGGTATATAACCAAGAAAAATGAAAATATGTCTACACAAAAACTTGTATATGAATGTTCATATCTGCATTATTCATAATAGCCAAAAAAGTAAAAATAACCCAAATGTCCATCAAATTACAAATGTATAAGTAAAATGTGGTATACCTACATAATGGAATACACTTAGCAATAAAAAGTAATACTATGACATGGATAAATTTTGAAAAAATTATGCTAAATGAAAAAAAAAAGACCACCTATTATATAATCATTATTATGAAATATTAATATGAAATGCCCAGAAAAGGCAAATATATATATATATATATATATATATATATATATATATATATAGACAGAAAGTAGAATGTTAATTGCTTTGGCCTGGGGAAGTTGGAGAAAAATGGTATATGTCTTTTGGGGACAATGAAAATGTTCTAAAACTGAGGTGATGGTTTTATAACTCTGTGAATATACTAAAAGCCAATGAATTGAACCTTTAAATGGGATGAATTGTATGGTATATGAATTGTATCACAATAAGGCTGTCATTCTAAAAAAGTTGGATCACTGAGATTTTTTATAAATTTTTTATAAACCCACTAGACTGATGAAGGGAAAGTAAACAAAAAAGAGAAGACATAAATTACCAATTGTAGAAATTAAAGATGATCCAGATCTTATAAGACTATAAAAAGAATACAGGGCAATATTATAAACATCTTTATCCAATACATTTGACTCTTAGAAGAATTGGACCAATTCACTGAAACATATCACTCAGCCAAACAGACTTAAAATAAAAAATCTGAATAGCTCTAAAGCCATTAAAGAACTTGAGTTAATTGCCAAATACTCCACCAATGAAAACTCCAGGCCAAAACGGCATCACTGGTGAATTCTACCACATTTAGGACAGGACAAAACAAGACAAAACAAAACAATCTTACACAAACCATGCAGAAAACAGAGCAGTAAGGAATATCTTTCAACCCGTTTTATGAAGTCAACATAATGTGGATGCCAAAATTAGATAACTATGTTTTTAAAAAGAAGTTACAGATTATTTTGATCAAGACAGACCCCCAAATCTTTAATACAATGCCAGTCAATCAAAACCAGCAATATATTAAAATGATACATGATCAAGTAGGGTTTATCGCAGTAACTCACAGTACTCTAACATTCAAAAATCAAACAATGCAATTCATCATATTAACAAGATATAGGAGGAAAAAACAAACGATCATTTCAACAAATGGAGAAAAACATTTGACAAAATTCAACAACCATTCATGGTAACAACTCTCAACAAAACTGGAACAGAAGGGAAGTTCCTCAACTTGATACCATTAAGAAAACAAACAGGCAAGCCACAGTTTGGGAGAAAATATTTGTAAAACACACCTCACAAGAAGCTCATATATTATAACTATGTAATTATATAATATAAACTATATTTAATTATAAAAAAGAAAATTCTGTACTTCCAAGTTTTTTGTATACTTGAGATTGTTTCAAAAAGATTTTTTGAGTTTTGTTTTTTTTAGAGAGACAGCGAGAGAGCATGCAGGGGAGGAGGAGAGGAAGACAAACGGAGAATCTTAAGCAGGCTCCATGCTCAGGGCGGAACTGGACTCCATACTCTTGATCTCACAACCCTAAAATCATGATTTGCACCAAAACCAAGAGATGTTTAAACAATTCAGCCACCCAGTTGCCCCTAGATGGCTTCACAAGTTTTTTTTTTAAAGATTTTATTTATTTGAGAGAGAGAGAGCGCGCGCGCATGCATAAGCGGGAGAAAAGGCAGAGGGAGAATCGGAGTGCCCACTGAGCAGGGAGCCCTAGGGCTTGATCCTGGGACCTCAGGGTTATGACCTGAGCCTAAGGCAGATGCCTAACCACTGAGCCACCTAGGCACCTGATTGCTTCAGGAGTTTTAAAGCTTAAACACACACACACACACACACACACACACACACACAAATACATACGTAGATACATGACCAGGCCGAACTCAGAGTTAATGAATCAGAATCTCTGGGGATTATATGATTTATATTTTAAAAAGTCTTTAAAGTTTTCAATATAGGGACGACTGGGTGGCTCAATGGAGAGTCTGCTTCTCCCTCTCCCTCTCCTCCTCCCCCAACTCATGTTCTCTCTCTCTCTCTCAAATAAATAAAAATATTTTTTTAAATAAAATCTTTAAAAAAGGGGGGGGAGCAGCCCGGGTGGCTCAGCGGTTTAGCACTGCCTTTGGTCCAGGGCGTGATCCTGGAGTCCCAGGATCAAGTCCCATGTCAGGCTCCCTGCATGAAGCCTGCTTCTCCCTCTGCCTGTGTCTCTGCCTCTCTCTTTCTCTCTGTGCCTCTCATGAATAAATAAATAAAATCTTTAAAAAAAAAAAAAGAATTTTCTGTATTTCATGCAGCTACACAAAATAACAGATAAACTAGGCGTTCAGGATAAGACAACTATGATTCATAGCTCCTGATTTCAAGATTCTATGTTCACTATAATACAAACTGTTTCTATTAATATTATAATAAATAGGTTTTATGGTAAATAAATGTTAATGTGAACTTATAAAATCCTTTACTAATAAAATGTTATTTTTACCAACTTTATATTTGGTGTTATGGTATGAATTTTTTTTTCTAAGATTTTATTTATTTATCTGAGACAGAGAGGGAAAGAGAGAAGCAAACTCCCCGCTGAGCAAAGAGTCCAATGCTGGGCTTGATCCTGGGACCCTGGGATCATGACCTGAGCCAAAGGCAGATGCTTAACCAACTGAGCCACCCAGGTGCCCCTATGATATGAATTTGCCAATGTTCTCAAGAAATCCAAAAGACACTGGATTTTCTTTTCTTTCTTTCTCTTTCTTTCCTTTTTTTTCTTTTCTTTCTTTCTCTTTCTTTCCTTTTTTTTTCTTTCTTTCTTTTTTTTTTTTTTTTAGAGAGGGGGAAAAGAGAATGAGGAGGGGTAGAGAAAGTGGGAGAGAGAAAGAATTCCAAGCAGGCTCCAGGCCCAGCACAGAACACAACACAGGGCTCAAACTCATGTGAGACCATGACCTGAGCTAAAATTAAGAGTCAGACACTTAACCAGCTGAGCCACCAAGGCACTGCAAGATAATGGAATTTAAATAAAAACTTAAAAAAAAAATCTCAAAGGGGATCCCTGGGTGGTTCAGCAGTTTCACGCCTGCCTTTGGCCCAGGCGCGATCCTAGAGTCCCGGGATCGAGTCCTGCGTCAGGCTCCCTGCATGGAGCCTCCTTCTCCCTCTGCCTGTGTCTCTGCCTCTCTCTCTCTCTCTCTCTTTATGTCTATCATAAATAAATAAAAATAAATCTTTAAAAAAAATCTCAAAGTCAATGCTGGGTTTAAGAACTGCTACGCATTTTACTGAGACCAAGAAATCCACAGACTCTGCGAGGAGGACATATTCACCACAGTAATGGCAAACTCCTTAGATACACTAAATAATATCTTAATGTACACTAAATAATACACTAATAATACACTAAATAATGAGATGGTTATTCAATCTGATCTGGTTTTTATCCCCATAGAATTTTGCATAGCAGGACACCTGAGTGCCTCAGTGGTTGAGCTCCTGCCTTTGGCTCAGGGTGTGATCCTGGGGTTCTGGGATCAAGTCCCACATCGGGCTCCCTGCATGAAGCCTGCTTCTTACTCGGCCTGTGTCTCTGCCTTTATCTCATGAATAAATAAAATCTTAAAAAAAAACAATTTTTTTTTGCATGGCATATTTTATCGCAATACTTACTGGTGCTACTATTTTTCCCGTCTGTCCAACTTGCATGTCATTGGGAACAAAGCCAGCATCAACAGCAGCACGAGAAGCACCAACTAGAGGGGAAAACATATTTGTCATTTTTTTTAAGCTCTGTTAGTCAGCTGGCTGGGATATTCACTACTATATACAAAGGCACTGGTAAGTACAATCAGAATTTATTTTATAAAGCCCTTATTTAAAAAAAAAATCTCCTTATCAGGGATCAAGAATTCTAAAATGAAGTACTAGTGCATTTTATACACAAAACTTCAAGAAATGCCTTCTACTTATACCCAAGGATTTAAGATTTTAAATTTGGCTGAAGTCTTCTGCTTGCTTTATCAAAAAGGTATCCAGGCATTCATAAAACATACACTATAACCTGGCATGCCATTATACAATGATTCTTTAGGCAATAACTTCACAACTCTTGAAGGTACTATGGTATCATTATCTCCTATGATTAAAGACAAGTTACAAAAAAAAAAATATAAATAAATACAAGTTACACATAACAAGTTACACTATCTAAAAAAAAAAAAGAGAGAAGTTAAGTAGCCTTCTATCCTCCTTCAGCAGGAGTGAACAAGGCGCCCTGTACTTGGAGTAAGGTCGCCCCTCTCACAGCAGGGTTCAAGAAGGAGCCTCAGGTCCTCTTCACCTTCATCTAGAGGGGACATGAGGAAGCCACAGACAGCACTCCGTACTGCCTCCTAACGTGCAGTCTCAATACTACCTGAGTAAGTGACAACTGGTCACATCCTGCTCTTTACTTACTTCAATCACTACAATAAGGCCCAGACTCCAAGGTTCTCCTTCATAATCCACAGACTAATCTCCGAATGCCCTGCATGCTCCCTAATGTACACCTATCTTCCCACTTATGTAGATGCTCCCTGAGGACAATGATTCCCCTGCAGTTCTCTCCAACAGATGTTGCTCTTTTCTGCCACCATCTTTATAACGCTGGGCATGGAGATGGGACTCTTCATTTACACCCTCAGGAAGTGCTCCCTCCTTCCTCCTTAAAAGCTTTCAGCTGCGAATCTCACATCATCAGATCATGTCACCCATTTATTGCTTTGTCAGCTATTAACCACAAGCCAAGCCCCTTCATTTCTCAATGACTTTTAGTTTCTGGGCCATTGCCATTTTCTCCAATACTAGTCTTAATTCTCAGATATTTCAACACCTGGCCTCATAGTTCCTTAAATAACTCTTCTCCAGTCATCCACACCCACGGTCAGATCCCCAACCTTTCCATTACCAATATCCCTTGACAATCTCAATTTCCACTGTCTCTCTGTGACTTACTCTTTCTGGCTCACTCCTTTAGCACCCAACTCCCAACAATCCTCTGACCTCACTGGGATCTGTATTTCTTTCTTTCTTTTTTTTTTTATTAAGCTTTTATTTATTTAATTGAAAGAGAAAGCAGAGAGAGTGAGCAAATACATGACAGGGGTGGAAAGGCAGAGGGAGGGGGAGAAGCAGACTCCCTGCTGAGCAAGGAGCCTGATGCCAGGGCTCAATCCCAGGACCCTGGGATTATGGCCTGAGCCAAAGGCAGACAACTCAACTGACTGAGCCACCCAGGCGCTCCAGGATCTACATTTTATTCACTGTCCCTCTCTCCCACTATGTTGTCTCCTGTTTACCTGGCTTAAATTCTATGATCAATGCCTATGCCTTCAATCTCCTTGCCTTCACCATCACACTCAACTAGAAAAACCTCTATCTCTGGTTAACTGATTAAGCAATCTCGATACCTTTTCTATACCTGGCCCCCTGTAGTTCAGCATAATTAGAGAAAAACACCAACACTAAGCTGTGTTAACTGGGTTTTACTATAAATAAATAGGCCTTCATTCTCTGTTTCCTGAACTATAATTTCGTATCTTTTCTTCTCTCACCCCTTCCAATACTCTAACACCCCATTCAGCTGATGACCTTGCTTCCTATTTCACTTAAGAAATTGAAATCAAAAAAAAAAAAAAAAAAAAAAAGAAATTGAAATCACCACAAGCAAATTTTCACATGTTCCAACTAACATACACATTAACCTGGTCCATATACTTCTTTGCCTCATTAAGGACATCACTCCAGCAACTCTCCCTTCCCTTTCCTATGTAATTAATTTTTCCCTCTCACTGGAGCATTCCCATCAGCACAGAAGTATGCTGTTGGTCCCACTCTCCCCTAAATACTGTTCATTTCTCTGTTTTCTCATAGAGCAAAATCTCTCTATAAAGAGTTGTCTGTATTCACAGATTCCAATTCCAGGCCCCCCAATCTATTTCTAAAAACTTTTCTTTTAAAAAGATATGAGAGAGAGAGAGAGAGAGACCATGAGCAGAGGAGGGCATAGGGAGAAGCAGACTCTCCACCAAGCAGGGAGCCAGATGTGGGACTCAACCTCAGAACTCTGGGATCATGACCTGAGCTGAAGGCAGATGCTTAACCGACTGAGCCACCCAGATGCCCCTCTAAAAACTTCTTTATTAAACCACAACACATATACAGAAACACATACAAATCACAAATATAATACTCAATGGCTTATTATAAAGTGAATGCAATCATGCAATAACTACGTTGGACTATTCTTTTAAATCCATTCCACTCAAGATTTTGCCCCCACTACTCCCCTAAAACTGTTTAGCCAGTGACCTCTAAGTAGATAAATCAATTAGTCACTTTATGTCCTCATCTTCCTTGATCTATTACAGTATTTGACAAAAACACTTCACTTGGATTCCAAAATATCATGCTCTCTGTTCTGGTTTTCCTGCCTTACATACCACTCCTTTTTGGTCTTCTTTCTCTCCTTCTCCCTCTACCAAGAGTCTCTAGGGCTCCTAGAGACTTTTTTTATTTTTATTTACACTCACATCCTTGGTGATGCCATCCAGTTTCATGGCTTCAAATACCACTGAAACGCAACTGATTCCCAAATTTATTCTCCAGCCCAAAGTTCTCCAATGAATTCCACGTTCCAATGCCAACAGTTTAACAGACATCTCTACCTGTATGTTTACTGTTAGTGCAAAACTTAATATGCCCAAAACAATTCCTGATCTCTCCCTGGAACCTGTGCTTGGGGTCTTGACCATCTCAGCTAACAGTAACTTCTTCCTACCAACTGCCAAATAAAAACTCTCCCTCATCATACATATAACCCATCTGTCAAGAAATCCGAGTGTTTCTTTACCTTCAACTATATATCTTTTTTTTTTTCAACTATATATCCTAATACTACTTCTCCCCACATCTACTGCTACTAACCTGGTCCGAACCACTAGTATCTCTCACCTGAAGGATTAAAATAGCCTCCTAATTGATCTTCCTGTTAATGCACGTAATCCCCTACACTCTATGCTCAAAATCGCAGCTTGAGTGTCAGGTCATGTGACTCTTCTACTCAAATCTTTCAATGGTTTCCCATTTTATCCAGAGAAAAGCAATCTCTCTACGAAGGCATGCAATGCCCTGTGTGGTCTGGTCTATTACTCCCACTCTTATCTCTTACTACTCTCCCTTTTTGTACTTTCTATTCCAGCCACACTGGCCTCCTTGCTATTCATCACATAAACCAAACACACTTCTCCCTTAGTTGGACTCTTTGTACTTTACTGGTCCCTCTACCTGAAACATTCTCTCTCTTTCAGATCTCCTCAGGGCTTGCTTCCTCACCTCCATCAAACCTTTGTTCAGTTGTCTCCTTTTTAAGGCCTCCTCTGACTATCTTACTTAAAACTGCATCCTCCCTCTCCAAACTCCATCACACTCAACTAGAAAAATCTCCATCTCCAAACTCCTCCTCTTCATAGCATTTTACCCTCTAACATCCTAATTTATTTATTATTTACTAATTTATTGTGTTTAGTATCTATGGTTGGCAGAAAAATGGCCCCTCCGAAGATATATTCACTTTCTAATCCCCAGAATTTATATTACCAACATGGCAGCAGATGTAAAGTTAAGGATCTTAAGAGAGGGTGCTTATCCTCAATTATCTAAGTAGTCCCTAAATGTCATCACATGTATTCTTATAAGAGGGATACAGAAGGAGATTTGATACAGATACATAGAGAAGAAGGTGATATGAAGACAGAGGCAGAGACTGGAGTGATGCAGCCACATGCCTAGGAATGTTGGGGCAGCCTCTAAATACTGTAAATGAACAGATTTGCTCCCAGAGTGTGGTCCTGCCAACACCGTAATTTCAACATACTCTGGCCTCTAGAACTGTAAGGGATTAATTTTCTGTTGTTTTAAGCCACCCGAGTTTACAGCAATTTGTTACAGTACCCACAGGAAACTAATACAAGTCTAGTCTCACCCAAATACAAATTTAACTTCCACAAGGGCAGAGACTTTGCTTATTTTTGCTCACTGCCATTTCCCAGTTCCTAAAATAATGCCTGACATATGGCAGACACTCAATAAACATTTGTTCAATTAAAGAATAAATGAATGAGGGGCACCTGGGTGGCTCAATCACTTAAGCTTCTGCCTTCAGTTCAGGTCATGATCCCAGGGTCCTGGGAACGACCCCCACATTAGGCTCCCTGCTCAGTGGAGAGCTTGCTTCTCCCTCTCCCTACTTGTGCCTTCTGTGTCTCTTGCTCTCTCAAAAACATAAAGTCTTAGGGACACCTGGGTGGTTCAGTAGTTGAGTGTCTGCCTTTGGCTCAGAACATGATCCCAGAGTCCCAGGATCGGGCTCCCCGCGAGGAACCTGCTTCTCCCTCTGCCTATGTCTCTGCTTCTCTCTCTCTCTGTCTCTCATGAATAGATAAGTAAAATCTTTAATTTAAAAAAAAAAAAAAAACTTAAAAGAAGGATAAATGAATGAAATAAACACCCTCAAATAAAACCATCTGATTAGAGTCAATATCATGCCTTCATTCAGATAAACAAAAGCATAACCTAGTAAGTTATAACAAAACTCCTAAAAGGGGGAAGAAAGAAAAGAATGGAGACTTTTTTTTTAGAGAGGCGGAGTGCGGGAGGGAAAGGGAGAGAGAGAGAGAGAGAAAGAGAGAGAATGAAAATCTTAAGCAGACCCTATGCCCAGCTTGGAGCCTGACACGAGGCTTGATCTCACAATCCTGAGATCATGACCTGAGCCAAAATCAAAAGTTGGATGCTTAACCAACAGAGCCCCGCCCCCAGGAGCCCCATTGTAAAAAGAATATATTCAGGTAATAGTTCTATAATTTAAAAAAATTTCCAATTCTGATTTTTCAAAAACCATTCCACTCTCATCAGTACATTTTTAATACGTCCTATCTTTCCTATAAATGATTAACTATAATTTTTAAATAATGTTAATTTCTATTTTTATGAGAGATTTATATTACACTACCAATAAAGAGAAAAAACAAAAGCATTCCTGATTCTGAAGTAGGTACTGAAGCTGACATTTTTTTTTTAAATGGAAAAACAACAAAGGTTTTGCAAATACAGTGTCACATAAACAATAAAAAAGCACAAGGGACCCTCTCTGCACTGAATGCTATACCCTCTACCTAGAGACTAAGAAAAAATCGTTTCAGAGAGAAAATCTGAAAATCAAATAAAGCTAATCTGCAGCCTTGAGTGACTCACATATAAATGAAGTTAGAAAAAATACTTCCAACAAAAAGGGAGTAATTTTTTACTCAAGAAAATAACTTTACCTGCAGCATGTAGTTGATCTGCCAAATCATATAACAACTTAAAGTTCTCTCCACTCTTCAAACCCCGACCTTATTAAGTTGGGAAAAAGAAACAACAAATTAAGTAAACATAAACCTCAATCTATAATGGAAACATAAACTCCATTCAATACAGCTATGGAGAGGACTTGTGCCATGCTCCCCCTGGTGCTAGCCATACCGATGTGCATCTGAGAGCCCAAACTAGGTTATTAAGCTCATGGTTTCATTTTCCTAATTGGTAAAATCGGAGTAATACTTGCAACTTATCTACTTCTTACATCTGAAAAAAAAAAATCTGTGCTCCTCTATAATAAACACTAATAAAATCAAAGTATTTTTAAGTATACAACATCTTTTAAAATTAATAAATTACAATATTCCACTTACCACCAGATACCACCACTTTGGCACCAGTTAGCTCTGGTCGATCACTTTTTGTTAATTTCTGGTCAAGCCATTCTGCTATCCCCACTGAGGAAGTACTTGATGCTGTGTACATTGATACAGATACCAAACAATGGCTGGGAGTTAAAATTCAGTAACAGTTACTTTTAAGAGAAACACATAAAGAATTAATTCCATGAAATTTAAGCTTGTTAGTTACTGTGAATTTTTTGTGCTTCTAATTTTATTCTCTGTTTTTTTGGAAAGAATTGAAGGGATTAGATTCCAGCCTTCACCTCATTAGCTATGTCTTTTGATAAGTCACTTAATTTTGAGTCTATCTATAAAACTGGAATAACCCTCTATGAGGTCCAAGTAAGATATCTATAAATATTAAAGAATAACACCCTCTCTACATTCACTAGTAATTACATTCTTTTATTATACCAAGTCTCTCAAGTATTATAATAGGAAACAGTAAGAGAAAGTAAAACTAAACACCCCTTTGATCTATCCTAGTACCAAAAATTATATGATAAAGGCACATTATAAATATTTCTTATTTTTGGAATGCTTAGAAATATTATTTAGACTGAGCTCTCAGACAGTCTGCATTAGAAATTTAACCAGAGGCCATCTCTTATCCTAATATAATCAGTGAACTAAAAACCAAGAAACAAAACCAAACAAAAAACTTCAAATGAGCACTCACCCTTTTCTGAACTGGCACTACCTCCACTTGTTGCTGCAGCTTCAAAAGATGTTCCTCGGACAGAAAACACCTTCACGGTCTCATCGCACTTCACTGTACATAAAGCATTTCCTGAAATACACATTTATTTTTTAAAAATCAGCCATGGAAGGCAAGTATTCCTTTGAGGTTCAGAATTTACTTCATGAAAAGAAGAAATAAATAACTGTGGACCAGTTGTTTTCTACCTCTACTAAGTACACGAAAAAGTACAATAACATTAAAGAAACATATCAGTAGTTATTTGTATAACCTTGGGTATTTTTAAAAGTAGGACAAGGGTTCCTGGAAGCAAGAAATTGGAATAACCTAGGCAGCCACACTAATAAGGCATACTCTTCCTAAAAGGAATATAGACAAAAGCTTCCTTCTCCAAAAACACAGTAACTCAACAATATGAGAATGCAGCTACTAGGCTTGCTTAAAAGAGGAAAATAAATGAAAACGTGATAGGGCATAAAGAACAAGAGGTGTGATATGCCAGGATTTTAAAAGAATTTAAGACATTTATTATGGATTAGCAATTACATAAGAGTGACCTAAACTTCACCAATATTTCCCCTAACTCTACTAAAGATGAAAGATCTAATTTGAGAATTGACCATTAAATTGAAACACACAATTGCACTCAGAAAGAACAAAGAGTTCACTGCCTTCTCTAGCCCCACTAGGCACCAGTGGGCTTACAAAAGATCAACTAGAGACACTGAAATGAATTTCCTAATGCAGATGGAAACGGAGTAGAAGCTGTGAAGATTAAGAATACTATATATTTTTTTAAGTTAAAGTTTTGCTTTAAAACTCAGGTGCCAGGGATCCCTGGGTGGCACAGCAGTTTGGCGCCTGCCTTTGGTCCAGGGCGCGATCCTGGAGACCCAGGATTGAATCCTACATTGGGCTCCCGGTGCATGGAGCCTGCTTCTCCCTCTGCCTATGTCTCTGCGCCTCTCTCTCTCTCTCTCTCTCTCTATCATAAATAAATAAAAATAAAAAAATAAAATAAATAAATAAAACTCAGGTGCCACTTACAAAATATATTGAATAATGAATCTAATTTTTATTGATGACGACTGGAAAAATCTCATTGCTCTATAAACTGAATAAGCAGGAAAGAACTGTGCTCTGAATCTATTAAAAAGAATTTCATGTCATGGTCTAGAAGCAATTCTAAGATTAAGATTTTTCTCAAAAACCTTAGGGATGCCTGGGTGGCTCAGCGGTTAAGCATCTGCCTTTGGCGCAGGGCATGATCCTGGGGTCCTGAGATCGAGTCCCACATTGGGCTCCCTGCATGGAGCCTGCCTCTCCTTCTGCCTATGTCTCTGCCTCTCTCTGTCTCTCATGAATAAATAAATAAAATCTTAAAAAAAAAAAAAAAAGATGGTCCATTTAAAGCAAGTGTATGACCTGTTTAAAATCCTATCTTCAAATTAATTTCTGCTTTTAAAATTCATGAAAAGTTAACAGGTTGATTAATTCTTTTCCTTGGGTACTCACCTGCATAAATAGTTCTCACAAATGTGTCAGGAGACTTGATTGCAATGATGTCAGAAATTGGGGCAACATCAAGTTTGGCTGCTATTCTGGGCAAAAGGTTCTAAAAGCAAAAATAGTGAATTGCACACATACACACTTACAGATGGCTATCAACTATCGACACTAACATTTTCTAAATGCATATTCTGTAGAAATTTTAATTCAAATATTTTTTATTTCATATGCATCTTTAGACATACCACAACTTCAAGCTTTTTGGATAGTCTTTGAGATTAAGAGTTTTATGAGAAATACAGTAATAAACCATCTTAACTCAGTATGTTGAATTATAAGATACAATATTTGCTTTAATGAACATCACTCACAAAGTATGACCATCTTGGATTACTGAATTTAGGTAAAACAGAAAAATATTTAAAAGAGTAATAAAATCCTCAAGTACTAAAAAAGATTATACATGTATATATTTACTTAATATATATAAAAGAAAAAATCTCAAAGCAGACATTTCGTCTTATTAAAAATCAATATTAAATCAAAAAGATCAAAACTAACCTAAATACCCATCAACAGAGGACAGGCTTCTTGGTTATACCTCATCTATATCATGGAATCCTATGTAACCATAAAACAAACAAGAATGAGAAAGGTGAAGCACAGCCTGTATAATACATACAGGAGCAACAAAATTAATGTAAATGCTTTTCCTTGTATATGCATACAACATCTCTCTGACATAGGTATGTGTGATAACTTTGCCCTCACTAGTAGAGATCTCTGGGAAAGCCACAATATCCCCAGGTCTCAGTTACTTCACCTCACCAATGACAGAAAGAGGATTCCTAGCTTTTAGTCTACAATTCTAAACCCTAGGGCTCTAGAACAGAATTTTAGTGAAGACAGAATGTCCATACTTTCTAGATTCAAAGGTTTCTATCATCTAAATGTAATCCAAAAAGTTAAGTATTGCTTTCTTTTTCAAGTTAAGATTTATTTATCTGAGAGAGAGAGGTCGCACACGTGTCCCCCACCAGGAGGGCGGAGGGGGGGCAGAGGAAGAAGGAGAAGTGGACTCTTCGCCAAGCAGGGAGCCCAGCTGGGGGCTCCATCCCAGGACCCTGAGATCGTGATCTGAGCCTAAGCCAGTCCCTTAACCGACTGAACCACCCAGGCGCCCCGCATTGCTTTTATCAAACAAACGGAAAGCTGAATTCTACACTGCTTTCTACACAGAGCTTACTCCATGGCATCTCCTGAACTTGGTACATGACACCATCTCTAGCAAACTCTCACTGCAACAGTGTTCAAGTTCCTCTCCTGAATTCTGTCCCCAAACCCTCTTTGTTCTCTAATACTTCTCCCAAGATTACTCCTTTATTCTGTATCCTCCTACAAGCATGTACAATTATACTATTTAATTGCATTAACATGTAGTTTGTTTTAAAATAATTTTAATATACATACTATATAATGATCCTCAAGTAAACTTATAAGCACCCCCAGGGTAGAGGTTTGTGTCTTCTATTCCTCTTGTGTTCCTATCCTGTATCTAGTAAGTGGTTCTATATATACTGATACTAACAAGTGTTATATCAATTTTCCACCTGTCATATCTACAACAGGAAAGATTTCCTAATTTTCAGTTTATTTTTATCTTCATTATATAGCAGGCCTCCTTTAACCATGACAGAGAGCTACTGAAAAGTACCACAGTTTATAAAATCACAATGAGAAAAACTAAGATCGCTCAAAAAATAAAGCGTTTGGGAAAACAAAGTGCCATTAAACATACTTCTAACTTGGTAAATAAGAATTTTAGAAGATATCTATTTTCAAAAGAAATCAAATTTTACAGTACTTAAAGCCTGCTTCATGCAGTCATTTCTGAAATCACCTTCTTTATTCAGGAAATACTACTGGAATATTGTTACCTGGCTGAGCAAATTCTTTTACAAACACAGTCTCTTTTTATAGTCTTAAACTTTCTAAATTGCTTGAAACTTAGTATCTTTTGTACTTCCATTATCCCTTGTTTCATTTCAGCACAACTTGAAAAAGATTTGCCAGGATGCTTAGAGGCATATATTTCTCCAGGTCTGATCCTTCATTTAAGTATCCTGAGAAGGTAGAGGGTAAACATCTATCTCTATGCTATCCAAACAGGCTTGACCACATGGTTTCAGGGGAGGAAAGGCAACAACTGTCAGGGTGTTTTTTCATAAGCAAAAAGATGACAGATTTTTAAATTCTAGCATACCGGTATAAAAGTGTGCTAACTCAAAACCACAGTTGGTAAAGGACTGTTAACAGAGCAGATTGCTTAGCTTCACCTAATGGACTCTTTCTCATTCCAAACCCATTCAGAGACTACAACACCAGCTACTCTTATGTAACCCTTGTTTTCAAAACATTTCGTATGTTACAACACAGCAATTAAAGTCAGACTATTAGGCAGGCCCAGCGGCCCGGCCCCGCTCGGTCTGCCCGCGGGGTGGCCCTGCTGCGCGGCCTTGGCGGGGGGCCGCGCCACGGGGGAGCTGTCCGGGGAGCTGTCCGAAACGCCGGCACTCGGGCCGCACCGCACCCACACCGCCCACTCGGAAACTCGGAAACTCGGGGCGGCCCCGCTCGCCCTCTCGGGGCCTCCGGGCTTGCAAAGTTTGGGAGCCGCCGTTAGGAGCGCTCCTCTGCGGCTACACGAGCCCTGGAGCCCCTTGGGTGAAGGCGAGAGGCGGCCGGGCTCCTTTGAGAGTTCCTGTGGCTTAGAGAAAACCGGGAGGATATACTGAATGCCAGAGACAAATTAACAGAGGTCCTTGAAGAGGCCAACACTCTGTTTAATGGAGTGTCCCGAGCAAGAGAAGCAGTCCTAGATGCCCAGTTTCTCATTTTGGCTTCAGATTTGGGCAAAGAGAAAGCAAAGCAACTGTGTTCTGATCTGAACTCGTTTGATATGTTGAAACTCTACGGACACATATGGGTATAAATCCACTAGAAGCCAAAGAACTTATCCGTGATGAAGATAGTTCTGATTTTGAATTCATAGTCTATGACTCCTGGAAAATATCAGGCAAAACAGCAGAAAACACCTTTAATAAAACCCATACATTCCACTTTCTGTTGGGTTCAATACAAGGAGAGTTCCCTGTGCCAAAGCCACGAAGTGAACGTCCAAGAAAAGGTCCCAGGACAGAATAGAAGACAATGCCTGACCAGTTAAGTGAAATGGAAGAATCACATCAAGAAGCGACAGAGAAAGAAGTGTAAAGAATTTTGGGATTCTTGCAGACATATTTCCAAGAAGATCCCAATACTCCTATGTTGTTCTTTGATTTTGTGGTTGATCCACATTCTTTCCCCCCGAACAGTGGAAAACATCTTTCATGTTTCCTTCATTAATAAAGGATGGTTTTGCAAGAATAAAGCTTGACCAAGACCGACTACCAATAATAGAACCTGTTAATATTAATGAAGAAAATGAGGGAATTGACCAAAACACCCAAATTAGGAATCAAGGAATTATAGCTTTGAGCTACCGTGACTGGGAGGAGATCGTGAAGACCTTCGAGATATCAGAGCCTGTGATTGCTTCAGGCCAGAGCCAGCAGAGGCTAAGCACTTGACGCCAGCAAAGGACTCAGATGGATAATGAAATCCAAAAAGGGAAGCAGCATGTATTGTATATATTGTATGATTAAACATTTTTAAAGACAGATTGTTTTTAGTAAAATGTAGCTTTTGATAGTTAATGAATTTGTCATGGTTGTCTTTGATTAAAGGAAATTCACTGCCATAAAAAAAAAGTCAGACTATTAAAATCTAGCTAATTAGATGCAACAAACATCCTTTCTTGGTTAATAATCTTTTAAAAGAATTGTCAACACAAACTCAAGACTCATGAAATTGGTTAAATCATCTAGCACAGAATCAAAACTCTCAGAATGGTCCACAAAGATCTTTTAGTTCAATGCTCATCTATAACAGAAAGTTGGATGTTAACCCTTACTCTGGAAACGTATTCCATTTTTTTAACATCTCTACTTGGTAGACCTTGGACATCACTTGGTCAAACTGCATCATTTTACATATAAGGAAAAACAGACTTCAGGAAGGTAAAATGACTAGCCGAAGGTCATATAGGTCTATGGAGCCATTTTACTTATCAGTTACTAAATACTATTAAAAAAAACAAAACTTTATGATAGTCTGTAATATGACAACCTAATAAAAGGATAATTGTTCATTAAACTCATGAATTTACATTGTAGACTGAATATCGTTACTGCCTAGAAATTCTGTTAACTTTAAAAGAAAAAATTTAGTGAGTTCAAACTGATAATTCTAAAGGTAAAAAACAAACTACAGCAATTTACAGGAGTTATTCTGCAAGTTCTCTACATGGTTTGCAGTGATTCATGTCTAGAAGCAATACCACATCACAAATAAATATTCCCAAACACTACTCATTTGTAAGAGAAGAGATCAATGTCTTGGAAGCTCACAGTTATCATCACTCAACATGATTAGTGATTTAAGATATTATATCTTATTCCTCAAACTCATATTTTAAAATCAATTACATCAGAATTATTATAGTAAAAGGAAATAAAGTCAAATTGAGAAAACTCAAAGAAGAAATAAAAACCATAACTATATGAAAAGATATTTGATCTCATGATCAGATAAATGCAAAATTTAAAAAGATAGAGTTTTTTACCCATCAGATTGAGGGGAAAATGTTAAAATTTTAAATACCAGATGTTGGCAAGGTACTCTCTTATGCGACTAATGGAATGTAACCTGAGACCTCCTCTTAAGACAGCAATTAGCAATATATATCAAAATTTTAAAAGCACACAGTCTTTGACCCAAATATTTCACTTCTACAGCTCTATTCTAAGCATATGTATAAGGATGTATGTATAAGGACTCTTCCTTTGTAGCAGGTTTAGAAATGTAAAAAATTAGAAACAACCTAACTGTCCATCTTTGGCTAAAAAGATGTACAGCTAAAAGCTATACAGCCATAGAAAATGAGTCGGACATGAGCAAATATTTTCAAGATACATTCTTAAGTAAAAACCACCAGTCACAAAACAATTCATGATATGTTAATATATTTTAGGAGTAAAAAAGATTTGTGTGGGTATTATAATTTCAAAATCCACAGCAAGAAGACTAAAAGAATGTACAATTTGTTAACACCTATACTTCTGAATTAGGAAGAGGCAGTTGGGAAGAAAAGGGGAATTTGATACCTTGCTCTGCATACTACTATCTATATGTGTCCTTTATAATACAAATGTATTTGTGTACAACCTAATTTATAATCTTTAAAAGTAAAACTAAAACCTGCAGCTTACAACCTAATTTATAATCTTTAAAGGTAAAACTAAAACCTGCAGCTTATTAAGAATGGGTGAAAAGGGAGCTAGAATACCCAAGTCCACAAAAAGCAAGAACAACCCACTGACAAATTATCTTGGGCTCCCCTTACTTTCTCTCTTTTTTTAAAAAACTTCAGAGGGAGGGGCAAGATGGCGGAAGAGCAGGGTCCCCAAATCACCTGTCCCCACCAAATTACCTAGATAACCTTCAAATCATCCTGAAAATCTACGAATTCGGCCTGAGATTTAAAGAGAGACCAGCTGGAATGCTACAGTGAGAAGAGTTCACGCTTCTATCAAGGTAGGAAGACGGGGAAAAAGAAATAAAGGAACAAAAGGCCTCCGAGGGGGAGGGGCCCCGCGAGGAGCCGGGCTGAGGCCGGGCGAGTGTCCCCAGGACGGGAGAGCCCCGTCCCGGAGGAGCAGGAGCTGCACCAACCTTCCCGGGCGGGCGGAAAGGGGCTCGCAGGGAGTTGGAGCAGGACCCAGGAGAGCGGGGATGCCCTCAGGCTCCCGGGGACACTAACAGACACCTGCGAGCGCAGGAGAGTGCTCCGAGCTCCCTAAGGGCTGCAGCGCGCACGGAGGGACCGACCGGAGCAGCTCGGAGGGGCTCGGAGCAGCTCGGAGGGGCTCGGGAGCGGCTCCAGGGAGGGAGCTGCAGGGCGGGAGCGCGAATCCAACAGCGCAGGCCCCGGAGCACAGGGCGCCGGGATACAGCCCAGGATCCGGCCTCCCCCGGGACAGGCAGAGGCCGGGAGGGCCCGAGACAGCGAGGACGCTCCTGCCCCGAGCTGAGCAGATCAGCGGCCCCGCCCCGGAGCCTCCAGGCCCTGCGGACGGAGAGCCGAGAGCCCGAGCCCCATAGTTCCTGCGGAGGCTGAATCCAGGCTTCCAGAGTTGCCATAGCAACTGCTGCTGTTCCTCCTGGGGCCTGGCGGGGTAAACAACCCCCGCAGAGCCCTGCAGCAGGCAGGGGCAGAGCAGCTCCCCCAAGTGCTAACACCTGAAAATCAACGCAACAGGCCCCTCCCCCAGAAGACCAGCTAGAGGGGCCAGTGATACTCCCCCGTGTTCCAATACAACTTGTTTCTGGCCACTCTGCACTGAGCAAAATGACTAGAAGGAAAACCTCAACTCAAAAGAAAGAATCAGAAACAGCCCTCTCTCCCACAGAGTTACAAAATCTGGATTACACTTCAATGTCAGAAAGCCAATTCAGAAGCACTATTCTACAGCTACTGGTGGCTCTAGAAAAAAGCATTAAGGCCTCACGAGACTTCATGACTGCAGAATTTAGATCCAATCAGGCAGAAATTAAAAATCAATTGAATGAGATGCAATCCAAACTAGAAGTCCTAACGACGAGGGTTAACGAGGTGGAAGAACGAGTGAGTGACATAGAAGACAAGTTAATGGCAAAGAGGGAAACTGAGGAAAAAAGAGATAAACAATTGAAGGACCATGAAGACAGATTAAGGCAAATAAACGACAGCCTGAGGCAGAAAAACCTACGTTTAATTGGGGTTCCCGAGGGCGCCGAAAGGGACAGAGGGTCAGAATATGTATTTGAACAAATCCTAGCTGAAAACTTTCCCAATCTGGGAAGGGAAACAGGCATTCAGATCCAGGAAATAGAGAGATCCCCCCCTAAAATCAATAAAAACCGTTCAACACCTCGACATCTAATAGTGAAGCTTGCAAATTCCAAAGATAAAGAGAAGATCCTTAAAGCAGCAAGAGACAAGAAGTCCCTGACTTTCATGGGGAGGAATATTAGGGTAACAGCAGACCTCTCCACAGAGACGTGGCAGGCCAGAAAGGGCTGGCAGGATATATTCAGGGTCCTAAATGAGAAGAACATGCAACCAAGAATACTTTATCCAGCAAGGCTCTCATTCAAAATGGAAGGAGAGATAAAGAGCTTCCAAGACAGGCAGGAACTGAAAGAATATGTGACCTCCAAACCAGCTCTGCAAGAAATTTTAAGGGGGACTCTTAAAACTCCCCTTTAAGAAGAAGTTCAAGTAACTCTGAACGTGAATGGGCTTAATGACCCCATCAAAAGGCGCAGAGTTTCAGACTGGATAAAAAAACAGGACCCATCTATTTGCTGTCTACAAGAGACTCATTTTAGACAGAAGGACACCTACAACCTGAAAATAAAAGGTTGGAGAACCATTTACCATTCAAATGGTTCTCAAAATATACCCTAAAAACTACAGAACACTTCTGAAAGAAATTGAGGAAGACACAAAGAGATGGAAAAATATTCCATGCTCATGGATTGGCAGAATTAATATTGTGAAAATGTCAATGTTACCCAGGGCAATTTACACGTATAATGCAATCCCTATCAAAATACCATGGACTTTCTTCAGAGACTTAGAACAAATTATTTTAAGATTTGTGTGGAATCAGAAAAGACCCCAAACAGCCAGGGGAATTTTAAAAAAAGAAAACCATATCTGGGGGCATCGCAATGCCAGATTTCAGGTTGTACTACAAAGCTGTGTTCATCAAGGCAGTGTGGTACTGGCACAAAAACAGACATATAGATCAATGAAACAGAACAGAGAACCCAGAAGTGGACCCTGAACTTTATGGTCAACTAATATACGATAAAGGAGGAAAGACGATCCACTGGAAGACAGTCTCTTCAATAAATGGTGCTGGGAAAATTGGACATCCACATGCAGAAGAATGAAACTGGACCACTCTCTTGCACCATACACAAAGATAAACTCAAAATAGATGAAAGATCTAAATGTGAGACAAGATTCCATCAAAATCCCAGAGGAGAACTCAGGCAACACCCTTTTTGAACTTGGCCACAGTAACCGGAGAAGGACAAACAGTGTATGTTCTCATTCATTTGGGGAATATGAATAATAGCGAAAGGGAATATAAGGGAAGGGAGAAGAAATGTGTGAGAAATATCAGAAAGGGAGACAGAACATAAAGACTTCTAACTCTGGGAAATGAACTAGGGTGGTGGAGGGGGAGGAGGGTGGGGGGTGGGGGTGAATGGGTGACGGGCACTGGGGGGTACACTTGACGGGATGAGCACTGGGTGTTATTCTGTATGTTGGTAAATTGAACACCAATAAAAATTAATTTATAAAAAAAAAAAAAAAAAAAAAAAAAAAAACTTCATGCAGATAATCATCTGATAGTACATTCTTTCTCCAGACATATCACAATGCACATGATCAGATTACAGCTTTCTTTACACTAATGATGTTTTCAACTACTACACAGCCCTTCCAAATTCCCCAAGTAGATAGAATTTGGCCTTTGTAAATACCCATCAACCACTTAAATAAACCATTGCTTAAGATGGGTTACCACTATAAATGACATTCACATGCACACAGTTCAACACTGTTTTCAAAAAAAAAGTAATTTTTAAAAATATCCTAGTTTTCTCAATGAGAAAATTTGAAAGTCTGGAAGTGGCGTTCTAGTAAATTATGACAAAATCTTGAAAGAATAGAGTTGTCTCTATGACAAAATCTGAAAAATTTGAAAAGATTGCATCTTTACAGAAATTGTAAGAAAGACTTAAAAGGATTTTAGCAAAACTATCATATTAATTCAGAAAGCCAGGATTAGCTACCTACACAGAGTCTGTTGCACATTTTCAACACAATGAAATCTAACCCATCGAAATAATGACATCAGATTCCACATTCTCGATCTTCTCACCTTTCCAAAGGCAGATGCTCCAGCACAGATGTGTGTGTAATTGAACTGCTTCTGAGTTGCCAAAATCAATGGTGTCAGTTCCTCTGAGAATTAAACACATTTTATAAACACATTTCATAATATTTTCATATTCTTATATTTAAGCATACTTTAGATACTAAACTTTTTCCACTGGAAAATCTCACCTGGAAGGAGGCCTTTGTATGTATCATGCTGGGCCACCAGAACTTTGGCTACACCTGCTACTTTGCAGAGATCTTGTGTCACCTATAATTAAAAGAGTTTTTAATTATCTGAGAGAAAAATATAAATAGAGCCACCACTACAAAAATCAACAGAGCATAAGATATTAATGGCCAACTACAGAAATCGTTCGTATCAGAAAAAGGACTTAGGGGAAAAAAGAAAATTCTTTAATAAAAAAAAAAAAAAAACTTAGGCTAATTAATCTTATTACCAATTGACCTTAAACAAAAATTCCTACCTTGGGGAAAAAAAAAAAAGGCATTAACTGATAAGCCAAAACTAGCGCAGCTCTCTATTCAAATTTAGTTATAAATTGTACTTTTTACCTCTCATTAAATGCAACGGTAAATTCATCATTTTAGAAACAGTGAAAATGAGGCAATGGTTAGGTTCTCTCATACACACACACAAAAACACAGCCAATGGGCCTCCTAGACGTAAAGAACATGACTTAACAACACTGGGTTACAGGCCACTGCACTTTATTTGGCAATAGTAATTTCTCCTGGTATTAAAATTAGTGAATTTAGGCAATAGAAAAATCTTGTATGATGGTCCATTGTCAACTTCTAATTTCCTGCCGAGTTACATATATATGTATCTATAATAAAGCAAAATAATTTTTATTTTAATTTCTCATTTTTCCTGTGTGGAATCAAAATGAAATTCTGAGAAAGCTTTTTGATTACTCAGATTTCCTATATACAGAAGGCAAGCAGAATTTCCTCATTTGAAACAAAGGGGTGCGGAAGGGGAGGTTGGTGGAGGGGTGGGGTAACTGGGCAACAGGCACTGAGGAGGGCACTTGATGGGATGAACACTGAGTGTCATACTACATGTGGGCAAATTGAATTTGGATTTAAAAAATGTAAAAAAAAAAAAATAGGAATGCCCCCTTTTAATTCTCTAAATTACAGCAAGACTGGCGTCTGCTTTATCAGAGACAGAACCATCACATCATGGTCTTCTGTCTTCTTCTTTACCTCCATGCCGATTCCCCAATAAGCAAGCATAAAAAGCTGTGCCTCCTGCCTCCCTCAATGGAAGGAAAGGCTGCAAGGATATTCACTGTTTCCGAGGTTGCAAAAGTACCTCTGCTGCACCAAGTATTCACTGGCACATTGTCTTCTATCAAAATGATCTTTTTTACCAGCAAAAAATTCTGGCACTACACAGAAAAATCACTTGCTACTTACAATAAACAGCTACCAAAAAAACATAAAACTGAAATCTGCTTAGGCTATTGAAAGTCTCCTTATACAGGTACTGTTTTTCTTTCAGATTAGAATGTGACAAACCAGTAAGATTGTAACTAAAGAGAAAATTATTTCTGCTTTGATTTTTCTCAAAATAGTGTAAATAAAATAGCATTTCAAATATTTTTAAAATATCTGAATATTTATTTAAAATCACAGTCAAATAATCAAACCCAGAACTTACATTAAATCTAAAAGCAGGGCAACCAAAAAAAGCTTACTCATGTCATCATACATCGTGGTTACTATCAAATAAATAAGATACAATAGTTGTTAGCAGGATTTAGGTAAAGAAGTCCATACAACTTAACCCCAAACCTGCTAGAGTACATTCTTTCAAGATACTGATTTCACATAAGATAGTAGTGACGCCAGCGTTCTGCATCTGCATTATACCACATGTTCTGAGGCAATGCCATTTAATAAAAAATAAAATCCTCTAAAAAGAAACATGCTCTTTCCAGATTTCTTCCTCTGAGGTTCAAGTCCCCAACTGCATACCTGGCAACTCCTGTGTGGTACAGGAGAGAACTGGTGATTCAACTGAACCGAAGCATGATCCCAACTACACTGTAGCCCAGTGGTACGGATCCTGCAAATCGTATTATAGCACCCTTCTAAAGGGTTAGTTTACAAAGCTGTTATCTCATTTCCTCAACAATGAAAATGAAATAATCTTTTAGTAACAGCTACAGTTTGAAAAGCATAATACTTACCTGTGAATTCTTACACCAAGTAAAAATTAGTACCGATGATACTTTGTGCAGATTTACCACTTTCAGGAATTAAAAGCAATTAGCTAGTATATTCATCAATACACAAAAGGGATCGGCTATTAACCTCAAACTCAAATATTATCATTCTACTTGGTACCTGATGGCACATGATGGTGCCAGTGGAACTAAATCAAGTATTTTACCTCATTTCAAAAGACAGAATGCTTAGTGAGCAAACCTTTTAGTTCCTTTTTCACATGTAGTAATGACTGTGACATTGGCCATTTAATGAGGATTAGTGCCCAGTTTGGGTTACAGTCCTCAGCATAATTCTCTGTTGCCATCTTTCCCTGTCTCTTGATGGAGATTATATTTGCTATGATTGACCTTAAAAATTTCTCACCTTGTCACATTTGGTTCCAGCTACTAAGCAAGACACTTCACCTCCAAGATGTTTGGCTGCAGTGATGGTATTTAATGTAATGGGTGCTAGGGTATCATTTGCATGCTCGGCTATTACCAGGGTACTCTGAAATCGTAGCAGTGAGGCCTAAAAGGAAAAAAAAAGAAAAGGTAGAAAAGAATATTGTAATATAAATAGGGTTTTTTTTTAACTCTAATTGTTAAGCATGTGTGCTTTAAAAAAACAACTGTATACAACACTCAGTTCTATAAATGTATTCATAAAGTACTTCCTTAATGGCAAAAATTAAGCTATTTGTGTCTATTTTCTATTACTAATATTCTTTCCTAAAAAAGAGAAAACACAAATTTGTATTGTCAGAAAAATTTAATTACTCCCACTAATCTAAGCTCCTAAATATTGTATGTTCAATGAGAAATCGCTAACTACATTTAAATTAAAATTCTTAAGTAGAGGGGCGCCTGGGTGACCCAGTTAAGTGTCTGCCTTCAGCTCAAGTCATGATCCCAGGGTTCTGGGATGGAGCCCCTTGTCAGGCTCCCTTTTCAGCAGGGAGTCTGCTCCTCCCTCTCCCTCTGTCCCACTTTGCCACTCGTGCTAATAAATAAATAAAATCCTCAGTTAGAGGGTGGTCTGGGTGGTTCAGTTGGTTAAGCATGCAACTCTTGATTTCTGCCCAGGTCACGATCTCAGTCATGAGATTGGGCCCCATTTCAGACTCTGCGCTGAGTGTGGATTGGAGCCTGCTCAAGATTCTCTCTCTCTCTCTCTCTCCCTCTGCCCCTCACCCCCATCCCCACTCAGGCATGCGTGCTTTCGCTCCCTCTCAAAAACAATAAAAATAAAATAAATATAAAATTCTTAAGTAGGGGATCCCTGGGTGGCGCAGCGGTTTAGCGCCTGCCTTTGGCCCAGGGCGCGATCCTGAGGATCCGGGATCGAATCCCACATCGGGCTTCTGGTGCATGGAGCCTGCTTCTCCCTCTGCCTGTGTCTCTGCCTCTCTCTCTCTCTGAGTGTGACTATCATAAATAAATAAAAATTTAAAAAAAAATTTAAAAAAATTCTTAAGTAGAACCTATTAACTATCAAATGAGGAATCCAACTATTACCAAGTACATTCACTTGCAGCAAAACTGCTAAAGATACAGTATATCCAGAAATAATGGGTTTGAAATCAATTACTAAAGTTGCTTTCTATTGTTTCAGGCATAATATATTCAACACCCAAGTAACTGATAATGTAAATATGTCTTTAAAATACAACACCACACAGTAATCTTGCTGGGTTTCAATTGTTTAAACATGTTTCTGAATTCAAAAAAGAAGCTTGCAAGACCATATCTTGAAACCAACCAGGACCCATCTGTATCTACTGTTGACTATCAAGAGACCACTAATAGTTTAAGGTCATCTGGAAGAATTTCAAACACCAGGAACACAAAGATGAACAAGAATGGTCACCGTACTCAAAGATTTTAAGGGAAATAAGATTTGCTTACATATAATTATGGGGACAGTTTTTCTTTTTTTTTTTTTTTTTTTTTTAAAGATTTATTTATTTATTCATTCAGAGAAAGCGAGAGAGGCAGAGACACAGGCAGAGGGAGAAGCAGGCCCCGTGCAGGAAGCCCGATGTGGGACTCGATCCCGGGTCTCCAGGATCACACCCCAGGCTGCAGGCGGCACTAAACCGCTGCGCCACCGGGGCTGCCCCGGGGACAGTTTTTCAATTAATCAAGAAATACAAAATGCTGGGGGGTTCCAGATCATGAAATATAAAATCAAAAGAAAGAAGGGAAGAAGTTCAGGTGTTCCTGTCTAGTGAAAACATGAGGAAGGGCACCATAGCTGTGACGGAATAATAAAATTCTGGAACTATCCTTGTGAAAAATCACAATGAGAAATGAGAAAAAGAGGCATTGAGGATCAAATGGCATAGCTATATGGCTTACTTCAACAAAAATCTTTGATCTGGAGTTGGAGTGAGGAAAGCATGGTTTAAAATTTATACCCAGAGCTGGATATTTACAAATTATAATGTACATATATTTGTATAATTTACAAATTTAAAATGCTCATTACACAATTTTCAAAATACATATTTTTTCATTTTTATTACTATACTGTACATACCAACTGCTATATTTTAATATTCTTCACCTTTGTATTGGTGAAGTATATGAGCATACCAGTTTTGCCAGTCCTTTAATATATTTGGTAATTAGTAGCTTCTTATTATTATAAACAACACAGGGGCACCTGGCTGGCAAAGTCAGTGGAGCGTGTGATTCTTGATCTCAGGGTTGTGGCTTGAGTTCCACACTGGGTGTAGAGATTACTTTAAAAAATAGTAATAAAATACATTTAAAAAAAACAAACAATGTAGAGAAGATCATCCTCATAACTAAATCTTTGCACTCATCCTCAACAAACGAGAATTTGTTTTATTCTAGAAAGACCCTTCTGATTGGAAGCTGGCTAGACATTAGCTGCTCTGACTCCATAGAAGACTAAGCTAGATTCAATGGAACCTTCAACAAGCTATAGGGACCCTTCTTCCCCTAAGCTTCCTACCTGTATCAGTTCATCCTCAACCTTCTCCTCAGTCCTTTTAATCATCTCTATCTTTGATGCACCAATCCCAGAGCTGGGGACCAGAGACTCTAGGGATATGCCAGAGGAAGGAATCACTGCATTATATATCATGGATGGCATTTGTCTTTTTCCTCCCTTTTTGTTTACTCAAAGGAAGCAAAGAAGGAGGAAGAAATGAGACTTTTGTTGCTGCCAGATCACGTACTTGCTTGTATAACTTTTTTTTTTTTCAATAAAATTGCTTTCTTACAGGAGGTGGTTAAAGTATGCATATCGTATGATTCTTTTCTTATGACAAATTGCTCTAAGTGTTAGATCAAGAAACAGGCACATTTTTAAAGGTTTTAATACTGACTGACACAAACTGTTCTCCAGAAAGTTGTAGCAATTCACAACAGGTCACAATTCTTGAGATGGAATCAAAGTTCTTAGAAATACCATGCCTATTCATCAAAGAATCTAATACAACCTTTTAAAAAAATATGTAGTACTTTCTCTTTTTTTTTAATCAGAAGAGCACAGTATCTTGCAATGAACTCTAATAAAGACTCAATGGCCTAATTTATTATTTAAATCACATTTCACAAGAATTGCCAGTAATAAACTACTTATTACCAATATATATCAGACACCATATTTTGATTATGTTTCACACACCATTTACCATAAAAATTATGAGATTTCCATCACTATTTGAAGAATAAATCCAAGATTTGGTGGCAGAAGGCCCATATTTGCCATAAATTATAGTTCTATCATAAGACAATTAGGCAGTTCTCCCAAGGAATCATCAAGCTTTTTAGAGCTTCTAGGGGGGATACTGTATATTCTTATTAAAAGACCATTCAAAATTATAAGAGTAAACAACAACAACAAAATATTCCTAAGAATCCACTCGGTTCATCTACCTGATTAATCTTTACTAATTACTACATACACCATACAGGCACTCTATATACTTTACCAACTGACTCCGTATAGTTTTTAATACCGAGCTTCTTTCTAACTCAGTTCTACCTTTTATTCCTCAGATACCACCTAAAGAGAAGCTTCGGCACCTAAACATGGTTATGTGGCTTAATTCAGCAAATAGTTGTGTGTAGCAAGAGAAATTGGTCTGTAGCTTTTAAAATGTTATGCCTCAATCTAGAGCCCAGTTTCTTTATCTGCAAATTGAGGGAGAGGAACTAGTTCAAAGGACTTCAAACTACATTCCATAGACGTCTAAGGGTTCCAGAGAGGCACACCTCAGGAACCACCACATAGGATAAAGTAAAGCTCAGACAAGCAGGGTTGCCAGAATGGCTCCTCAGCTTTGCTTTAACCAAATTAACTACACCAAAATATACAGTGAGAGAGCTGACCGCGGAACAACATGGGGAGTAGAGTACTGACCCTTGATACAGTCAAGAATCTACGTGTAACTTTTGACTCCCTGAAAACTAATACCCTATTGTTGACCAGAAGCCTTCCCAATAACATTAATAGTCGATTAACACATATTTTGTAGGTTATAGGTATTACATGCTATATTATTACAATAAAGTAAGCTAGAGAAAATAAAATCACTAGATAAGAAAATATAGTATTGCACTCTATCCAAAAAAAAAAAAAAATTCACATGCAAGTGGACTGGTACAGTTCAAATCCATGTTGTTAAAGAGTCAAGTTAAACAGCTGGCTCTTGATTTCGGTTCACGTCATAATCTCAGGGTCCCGGGATCCAGCCCCACAAAGAGGAGTCTGCTTGAGAATTTCTCTCCCCCTGCCCCTATTCCCACTCATCCTCGCTCACATATGCACATGCTCTTCTCTCTCAAATAAGTAATTTTTTAAAAATGTGTAAGCAGACTCCAGATTCTGAGTTTTTAATTACTAGCTCACATCAAAGTACCATCACTTTTAAGCTGTTTTATATACATATCCCTAGCTTTTCAAAAGTTCATTTTATGCCATTTCACTTTTATGGAAGACCTACCTATTTTCACTAACCAAAAGAAATCTGAAGAGGATTTTCTTTTTTATGAAAAAAGTGAAAAGCAAAAAAAACATTACATTTGTTTTGCAGCCAGCTGTACCCTGAAGCATTGTGCACCCCAAAGCAGTGAGAGTGGCACCATCAAGCTCTTTCCCTGAAACTACACTCAGCAGTCAAGCTACCATAGCTTTGAACTGTGTGGGCATCTGTGATTTATCTCAATTTATTTTGTGCATCCATTAACAAGATATGTCCTATCATATCAGAAAAGCCTAAGAGAGGTTATCTTTGGGTCTGAGAACACTTCAAAAATTTTCCATATAAGTTAATGGCAATTGCTTCTTCAACTGTGAAGCGAAAACCTCATGAAAGGTTTTATAGGAAAGCTGCAGGGAAAACCGGTATATGGGTCACTCCTATAAGATTTCACTTAGCAGATATTTTCCTGATTTTTAAAAACTAGCACTGCTCAGGGACACCTGGGTGGGCTCAGCCGTTGAGCATCTACCTTCAGCTCAGGGCGTGATCCCGCATCCGGCTCCCCGAGGGG